GGTCGTTCACCAGGATCATATAGTGTGGCTTAAAGTTTTTAAGGTACATAAAGAAAAACCCAACACCAAAACACCCCAGAACAGAACAAAAAAAACCACCCCAAACCAGGCATTCAGAAACCATAAACATATAAAGGGAATTAAGTAGTTACAGACCAAATCCAAACTTTGAAAATCCACTCCTTAGGATCTACCATATAAGCCTGTTTCTGCATCTATGATTTCGATAATGTTATACTTGACTTCAAAATCTCTTTGGTTTACAAGCCAAATCCTAGTTGACAACCCAAACTTTTCCCCTTCCATCAGTGCATGCTCACTCAGCAGTGACCCGAACATACCTGTATTCTTCCTCTTCTTTGGAGTTCTTTTTGGGTTGGTATTTCTTTGAAAGATTCCTATAATTAAAAATACATAAATATAAAATTAAATTTAAAATCTCCTTTAAATTAACTGGATAATCTTTGCATGCACACCCATTCTGTGGGGCTTCAGTTTTTATTTGCAGTGACTAGACACCTTTTCAGGGTTATGATTACAGTCAGGCTCTGATTGCATTGTAGTAGCACTCAAAGAATGGGCTGCACAGTGCTTCAGTCGCTATAACCACAATAAAGTAGCAGATTATAAACCTGAGAAGTTAATAAGTTAAAGTCATGAAGTCAATACACCTGAGTTCTGGTTCTGCTGATGCACAAGTCTCCTTCACCTGATCTAAAGGAGAGACCCTTACACAGTAAAAATACTGGTTCTTGGACACGCAGACATGCTTTACAAACTCCACCAGTAGAAGGTGCTACTCCATATCCAAAGGTCAGCCACCCATTAAAGTGTGGTTTGCTGCAGATAAGACGCATGGCCAGGCAAATTTGCCTGCCTTTAGCAGGATGCTTCCACGGAAGAGAGAAATCTTTGTAAAGCTGTGGGAAGCTGTACTGATATGACCAAAGGGGGATCATTTTCTGATTATGAACGGATGCTGGGAGAAATGCGAAATTTGATTATCCCAATTAGCACAGATGCTTGCATCTCTCATTACTCCACATCCAACTAATGATTTAATTTTAAAATGTTGATATGCTCTTCAAGTCATCATATCTTGAATAAGAAATTTGAACATAACTCTGCTAGCACATTTGACAGTTAGTATATAGCTTTCATCGTCCTGAAAGCACTGACGACGCGCCCCTGGCCAGCAGCACACCAAGGACCGAATGAGGATGTGCCGCCCACCGGACACTGAACGCACCCTGCTGATACTTAAAGCTCAACATTACAATATTGCATTGTAGCACGCCACCATGCATCTTTTAAACAATGCAAACAAGAGAGTCGACAAAACTTACTTTGCGATTTTAAGACCTTTTTTAGTGCTGCAGTACTGGAATCTCCTCTATTCTGAACTACTATACACCCTCCTGAAGCCTCTGTTACCTACTGTGAAGTGGAAGCCATTTGTTTTAGCTTTACAAGGCTGTTTCAGTAATTAAAAATAACATGCAAGATGGAATTGTCGTCCAAAGGACTACTAAGTTTCATTGACCTATCTGCGCCAAACTCTTTGGAGGACCCCCAGAACATGTCCAGTTGAAAAGAAACTGCTTTTTCAGAGGTGTAACCCACTCCCTGCTGCATGCTGGTTTTACTGCTAACTGGGAGACAGTAGGGCCTTTTGTCTGACATTTCTTATTCCTTTTGTTCTCCTTAAGGAATTAAAAAGCATCTGCCCAAACAGAGAAGTGGCCAGAACCCTGGCAGATTTGCACAGACAAACATGTGTTTCTCAAAATTTAAGCATCCCTACTGGAAGGGATCCAAATGAGCATCTCCTTTTCAGCCTCTGCCTTCTCTGGAAAGGGGATGCTCTGAAACAACGACCTTTTCTCTAATTCTGTGTACAAAGAGGAGTGGAAAACCCCCCTGCCCAAAGAGGAGAGGAAAAACCACAAGAAAACACACACAGAAGACCACACTAATAAGGCATTTTCACACACACTCAAAACACACATTTCCCTGCACTGTCATGCTGCCCTATTAATTCTGGCATACAGAGCTACTATCTTCTTGTGAACCTTTAAAGGTGTAGAAATGCTACAGAGCTAGGGGAAAAAAATCCAGACAGTATGCTTTCACAGAAAAAAAAAAGATTCCGAAAGCATATAACAAGGATTAGCATTTCAGTTAAACATTTTATTATTTTCTATGTACTTTATAAAACAAAATATTGAGTCTACATATTTGAGCTTTTCAAATTTTCCTGCTCTTTTTTTAAAATCAAAAACATACATAGGGTTTTAAACCAGGATACACACAAAAGAACAGAAGTGATACTGAATCCAGAAGTGATACTGAGCCAATATGACACTCACACATTGAAGTTCAGCATGCAATCAGGCAGTGTCATGACCAGAACAGTGGCACTTCCCAGGTTCAAGCTCATGAAGCAATAATGCCTTCAGAGCTAGCAGTGATTAAGAGGGAACTAACACATAAGAACAAAGATCAGCAGTAAAATAGCAATTCTGGGAAGACTCTCTGCTAGCCTGTGCACTTGTCTCCAATTCACATTTCTATTTGCCTTTCACACTGCATCATTTTTTTGCCTTTCCAGCTTGTTTCTCTGCTCCCTTATTTCCACTTCTTTGACTTCTTGCTCTTTCTCCCACATTTATCATCCATCAGAAGCTCCCAATTCTCAGATTATTCCAATATCTTAAGCACTTTTTTCCAATATGTCTTCCTCAAGGCCATCTATCCACTGTCACATTAGGTGAGACTTTTGACACACTTTTTGATGTTCAAAGTATATGTAGTGTAAGGTAAGTAGTGACATGGGAAGGAGGACAACAAAACACCACTTCAGCCCTCAGAGCACAGCATCCAGCATGTCAACATCCAATGGAACTTCAAAACAAAATGCAGGAACAAGTGAACACTCTTACCGTAGTTTCTGCATCCCCTCCTTCCCAGCCTATTTTAATGACTCAACAATTATAACGTAAAACAACTAAGAAAACAATCATGTCAGATCTGAAATGGACTCTCAGATCAGGACTGATTGTAAATGGCACAAGCAGGACTTGAATAGTGCAGGCACAATGTATAAGGTATGTGACACCAGGGAGTTTCTTCCACTTGTGTAACCAGTTAAATTTGATTTATCCTGCAAATATGTGGATCTAACTTAAAAGTGTTAAGACAAAATATTACATATGTCTGCAGAATTATAAAGAGTAAGGAAAGAAACATTTTTAAATAGGAGACAATTAAACTTCAACAGATGACCAGGCTGAGACGTAGATAGTCAGACAGGGAGAATAGCTAGCCAGGGAGCCCAGAGACCACGCAGAAAATACAGGTTTCACAAATGAAAACTAAGTTCAGCAGCTTTCACTATAAATGAAACTTTGAGTTAAATCCACAGGGGTATCTTGTGTTAACTTGTCCCTTTTAAACAGTATGTCTGCACGTTATGACATGCAGTGATACACTGCAGCCCTTTCACACCAAACGGATGTGACACAAGACAGGTTTGCACCAGGCTTGAGGAGACTTACTAAAAGCAGATGCGTGATTATATTTTTTTTTTTTATGTCTAGCCCTGTTTTATCTCAACATTTGACAAGTCTACATTTTTGTTTTTCCTTTTATACCTCTTAACTTCTTAGATGACTCCAAACAGCATTGTGTTTAAGAGCTCCTCAGGGATGAATAGATTTGTCCTCAAATCATACCCGTGGGTGGGAGAGACAAATGCAGCTATGTGTTGGGAATTAAAATACAGAGAAAAGAAACAAATTGCCCAAGTTTGGTTTGGAAGTCTAGGACACAGTAAGAAATAAAACTCATGAGCTCAGAGTTTCTAAATAGTCAGAGGTAAAACTATCTCCCACTTTCCTTACATGTTCTGGGGTTTTTTTTGTGTGTGTTTATTTTCATAATTACACTCTTTACACCTGAAATTTATCATCCTAAGAAACTGAGTCTAGTGTGATTCTTCATAAGACAGGCCTGCTCACACAGATACTCTGCTGGGGTTTCCCACTCCAGTCATACTCTCTTTCTTCCAGCTCATTTGACCTCTGTAATTCAATCTCTTCTCATCTCCATAGGATATGAGCAATTTGTTCCTGCACAAGTCATTTTCTATTTCCTGCTTGTCTATAGCAGAAACCCTGGGGAATCCTTGTGGCATTCCCCTGAGAAAGCACATAACCATAAAGGCAGGGTTTTATCAGCTGCCAGCTCCTCGTTAATAACAGGCCATTGTGTATCTCAAATCCATTCTAACACAAGTATCCAAAATTTTGGGTGATTTTTTTTTTTTTTTAAATAGACATTGTACTTTAGATATATACAGATCAACTAGAACCTCTATGAATATTGAATAGATGGAAAGAGTTCTAATATGTATTATAGTCATGCAAGAAGAAAGGTATGGATTTATTGGAGGTGTTAGGAAGGATTACTCACTCCTGCACTCCCCTCCTCAGTTAGCTCCGCCACCTCCAGTTTATCACCCTGGACACCAGTGGCTGCCAACAATATTGCACCACAGCCTCTCTCCACAGCAGCAGGACTGTCTGCATGTGGTACTCCCTTCTAACCGCTGTTCACCTCTCATTTTTTCTACTCTATTGGGTAAAGCAGGGTAAGAGCTACTCATAGTGTGAGGGTTCTTGACATCCCTTCCCCATACACGCTGGATCTGACCTCAAGGAATACATTTTCTGGGTCTGGTTCACATACACTCAATCTCTCTACCTACAACCTGATTGTCGAACCAGACACGTAGAACATATGTAGCAGGAATTTCCAGTAGTTTAACTACTTGAGATAAATTCAAGGATCTCTGCTCTGCCTAGGAGATGCACCACAAGAACAGTGGCAAGATTAGGAAAGACAAGGACCTGTTGGAGCACATCGTGAGGAAGGCCATGAGGATGATCCAAGTGCTGGAGCACCTCTCCTATGAGGAGAGGCTGAGAGAGTTGGGGTCATTCAGCCTGGAGAAGAGAAGGCTCTGGGGAGACCTTATTGCGGCCTTCCAGTACCTAAAAGGGACCTACAGGAGAGCTGGGGAAGGATTTTTTACAAGGGCATGTAGTGATAGGACGAGGGGAAATAGCTTCAAGCTGGAAGAAGGCAGATTTAGATTAGATATTAGGAAGAAATTTTTCACTTTGAGGGTGGTGAGGCACTGGCGCAGGTTGCCCAGAGAAGCTGCGGAAGCTCCATCCCTGGAGGTGTTTAAAGCCAGGCTGGATGGGACTTTGAGCAACCTGGTCTACTGGGAGGTGTACCTGCCCCTGGCAGGGGTGTTGGAACTTGATCTTCAAGGTCCCCTCCAACCTAAACCATTCTGTGATTCTATTACAAAAGCATCAAAATTCAAATCTCGGGCTGCAACCTGGCTAACTACACAGATGAAATTTCCAAGGGCTAAGACTGACTTTCTGACCTGCAGTTTCTTCAGCACAGAGTCTGTATTATGAAAAGAAACCCTAAACTTTGCCTTACAACAAATGATCATTATTCTGTTGAATTCTTAAACCCTTCAGCATTTACACGCAGCAGTCCTAATTTCATGGAAAACATTACATTGCTATCCTCAAAGCCTGAGCCATTAATCATGCATAAATCGTGAGTAAGCCCTAGTATGCTATTCAGTCACCTAAATAACCTTTCTTTTTGCAAAGCATATGATTTTTAGCAGAGATAATAAAACAGTATCTTAAATTAACTTAGGCTTTCCATTCTCTAAATTAAAGCTATTCTCTGAAACCCATTATTATAAACCAAATAAATTACCACTACTGACAGATGATTACAGGCTCTGAACAGATGCAACTCAAGTCCAGAACTTTACATATCAACTTACCTAAGCTGCTTTGCATAGCTGAGTTCAATCTCTGTTCTTTCTTTTACAAACTTGATGTATTTTTCCAGAACATCAATACCCCATTGCGTGTGTTTTTCTAAGTTGTCAAACTGGTCCTGCAATGAATCAAAAAAATAGTTTAGTCTCGTTGAACGTAGAGATAACTAAAAATAATTTCCAAAGTGCGTATCGCCATACAGAAAGTGTTATTAATATTTTCCATTACCACCGTTAGACATTTTGTAGCGACACAGGTTTTTAAATCAATGGAAATCTGTGTCTTAATGTGAGAGAGATTCGGTACCATTCTTCATCTCTCCTTTCTGCGTCACTTTCATTTCAGAAATCCTGACAATTCTACTGAATACAATTTTCTAATATAAAGTCATACATAGACAAAGAATAAGAAATGGATACTCTTGCCAGTACTTTCTGTTACTCTAAAGCGTTAACAGAATTTCCACGAATTTGAGGTCTACTCCTAATTAATAATTCCGATTTTAGTCTGGAAAATATAGATTTATAGTCAAGCTCTGTCAGTGTTACAAATTTAAAATATCATTTAGAACAGTTAACGATCTTTTTACAGAACCGAATTTACTTCCCCTACAGCCTGTTTTGTTCTAAAACAGAAGACATGCTACCAAATCATGCCACAAAATATGACATTAGCTACGTTTACAGTAAGTTTTCTTGTCTACCTCCATTTATACACAGATGCTACTTTGTTCTTCAGATACTGTTGTCCTCAAAAACAGTCACACATGTTTTCAATAAAATCTTTTTCAATCAAGAGCATTCCACAAGTCAGTTTGGGATTTGCAAATGCCAAAAGAAATTAAGCAACTCTAAATCCAAATTAATTGTCCAAGCCAGCTTATTACAGTCTGCAGATTTAACCTAAAATTACCTTCTTTTTTAAAATTTGGTTACTTCAACAGCACTCAAATTTCAAGTCATCCATTCCACCCAACGTTTAAGAACTGAATGCTTCTACGAGACTTGAAAAATACTTTTTTAAACTGTGATACGCTGAATAATTATCTTGAGAGAAACACAGCGTAAACAAGGTCTTTAGTATCAGCCTGACTTATTTGGCATCAGGTTCCATTATGGTTTACATGGAAAACAGAGAATACGTTTGTACATCTGCAGTACAAAGGGCAGATTTACAACATTTTCCAAAAAATTGTACATGGCAATAAATTCGGGTCAGATGCTTAGCTGCCACAACTAAAGCTTCTGACAGAAGCGATGCATCTTTCTATCTGCCAAAGACTTGGTCTTGCAACTTTCAGTTTATAGAGTTACCATCAAATGTTATTAAAGCAATACAAACCCACTTCCTTAGATGCACAGAGCAGAAAAACAACAGAAAACTCCTACAAAGCCTAGTTTATGAATATGTTGCTTTTAAGCAAATACCACTTTTTGCTTTGTAGCATATCTGGCTCTGACAGTAAATTAGATCAGTATCAGGAGAGATTCCTCCAGCACGGAACAAAACAGTCATGTACACAGAAGCTGCTACTCACTAATAAAAATTTTTTAATTGTATCTTGAAGGGAAGAAATAGGAATCATATTAGAGGCGGAAAATTTGTAAAAGTCTAGCAAGAAGCTAGTTAAGACAGCAGGTAACATGCATGGAACAGGACACACTGGGTTTGTGTATCTGCGTATTTGCTCTGGTTTAGCATAAGGTACTATTTTAAACCAGTTCAGCCAAACCAGGCTAGGCTTTGGTTGAAATTATATCACCATTAGCCAATTAAAGAGGCACTGGGGGGAGAACAGCAGAAGGGCAATAGGATAAAGTTACAAAAACGGTAAAGAACTTTAAGCCTTGTGCTCCAGGAACTAAGAAACAGTGGTTACGGACAAGTGGGGGGGAAGAGACTCAAACTATACAGAATAAAAGCTTGACTTCCAGCAATATAAATCACCCTTAAACCAATGTAACATCATTAAGTCAAAAAGAAGATGTATGCATTCTGCAGAAAAGGAAGATGTGGACTAAACCAGTACACATTTGCATATAGACATCCTTATTTCAGACAATTTCACAGCTGGGGAGATTACAAAGACGACATGGGTAACATCACGGACCTCTCCTCCTCCCAGAGGGCTCAGATCAGGAAGGAACATGGTGTGCTGTCTGGAGTACGATGCCAGCACAACCTTCTGCTCGGCTTCAAATACACAACCTCTACATCTCTCAGGTTATGCTGGCGTCAAGGAAGTAGTGCAAACATGACCTTTTTCAGGTTTCTGATAAAGAGATCTTATAGCTATCCCACACCGTACTCTTCCACAATTTACATTATTTAACAAACACATTCATATAAAATAAATACCCTAAGAGGCAGCCCATTACTCACAAGTTTACATGCATTCACACACACTCCCAGCTTTGAGAAGGGAAATCTCAGGGGGGGAAATCCACTTTCTAATCCCTGTAAGCAAATTAAACCACCCTTATCAGATATACCATACTAGTAACAAGAAACCAACTTAGTATTCTACTGCAGCCCCGTTCAAAGAGGAAAGGTCATAGTTTCCCATAAGAAAGAATGCCTTTCAAGGAGATCCTGCCCTTCAAGATTCAGACTGCTGACTGCACAGAAAGACAGAGCAGGTTCACCCTGGAAAGGCAATCTTGGTGGTGGGCTGTCCAAACCTCTTCCACCACCATCGCCACCCCCCCAACTCAATGTTCAGAGCATTATTTCCACCACAGTATGAATAAAAACCTGAAAATGGCTCCAGGGAGCTGCCTCCGTGTGGTCGGTTATCCCACAGATGGATCTGCTGGAATGTTTCAGTGGCCTCACTATGTCAAGTTTGGCAAAAGAAAACTCCATGATGTGCAGTGCAAAGGCGAATACAGCACGGTGCCGCTGGCAGACAGACCAGCGGTGTGAAGATGCTAACTTTCTATTTATAAAGCGAACAGAGACACTTGTCCTGCGCCGAGCTGTAACCAGAAGAACCTCAACCAGATAAACTACAAGCACTGACTTACCAAGCAGCAAGGCAAGGTGGAATTTAGCTTTCTGCAGACTTTGTGAAAGAGAAAAGTTTCTGTCGTTTTCCGGGCATGGAACAGCTTTGGCCCAAGTGCCATTTCACTAAGCAGCCAACGCCCCACAACAGTGTTACACTGGGGTCATGTATTCCATTATCTGTTCTTTTTCTGTGTTCCTTAAGGATGAAAAACATCAGCAAAATTGGCAACACCATCACTTGCTGAGCGTGAGATTGGAAAGGAAAGGCAGTGCAGCCAAAGACACCCAAGACAGATAGTCCTCCTTGTTTCGTGGATCTGCTCAGCAAGCTGAAGGTCGGCAAAGGCTGTGTTTGAAGCTAACAAATCATAGGGATGACAGAGTACACAGAATGTTTTGATCATAAAGCATAACCTTTAATTCATGGAAACCCAAGTCTGGGGATACATGCAATCAATGCAAAACCAGAACTTCTAAAAAGGCGATTTTTGAGAGTACTTAACAGTACCATGCCTTCAAACAATCAATATTGAAAAGATACTTTTTAAAAATTGATTTAGTATTTCCAAAGTTCATTACAAAAAATGCATTAACACATGGAATCTGAAGAGTTAAAAAATTCTGTAGCAAATTTGGTCTAGCATCCTTAGTATCTAGTAGCTTTGTATCTTCCACAATGAGATTTTCACCGTCTCCATAATAGACTGCCTCCCACAAAAGATTTCCCAGAAGCAGACTGTAGAAAAGCAAGTTCTTCCAAAGATTCCCAAACTCCAATACTATGTTTCATTTCAGATTTCATGGAACACCAGAAAAGTTTCATAGCTTAAAAAAAAAAAAAAAAGCTCTTCATAGTAATTAATCCCAGCAAAAAAAAAAGATCTCATGAAGGGGGAAACGTCATCAGTAAATTAGCTAGTCCTTTGGGTAACTTAAGCACTTGTAGTACTGGGTGTAAGAAGCTTCTTGTACTCAAATAGTAAAACTCAACAAGGATCTTCAAACACAGAGATCAATAAAGGTATCAGTGTCCCACTGAAGCCATGCAGAAGCTGGTGGCTGGAAAAGCATCTACCTTACAAAACCAAGCAAGAGGGCAGCTTTCGAGGAATTATCTGTCTCGGCTCTGAAGGGCCTTGGATCTACAACCGGGAGCAGTCTAATGAGAGCAGCACATGGCTTGGGCACACAGTGCACCATTATTGCCAGTGATGGACACAGGTTTAACAGGTAAAGTGTGCCCTACAGCTGTGCAGGTTTGGTCATCAGCTGGAAGATAGCTCAGGTATCTCCATGAGCTGCTGTTTCAGCAGTCAATTTCAACAGACACACTCTCCTCTGTTCCTTTTTGCAGCTTACTCACCCTTCCAGTTAGGAGTAATGTTAGAAAACAATAAATTCCACAAGGCTTTAGCATTCTTCAACAAAAGCAAGAAAACAAGACAAGAAGCATGATGCTGTTCAGTGAGAATGCTCCCACCAGACCACAGTGAGGGGGGGGGAAACAAAAGGTCACTTTACACCTGTTTTCGCTGAAAAAGAAACATCAAAACATTTTCTAGAAGCATTCACTACTTTCCTGACTCGGAGACTGGTTTAGACTTAAGAACACTCTTGAGCAAAATACTGCACTGACAATGAGTCATGCATCCGAGCAGGCTCCCACCACAGCCTTCACGTTACTGTACGTCCTTTGGCCTTCCAACCTGCCAAATCTCATGTTCTCCCATTTTTGAAGTCGCTCTGCTTATTGTGATATCAACAGCTTATTGGAAAAAATAGACTTCTGATTGACAATCAAGCTGTGCACATAATTAAACTACTCATACAGCTGTGACATTCCTCTTCAGATTCCAGCAGCTTCCCAATGACAGCAATGTGTACCAGTACAAACACTTCACCTCTTCCCCAAGTGATGGAGGAGTTTGAATACATGAGCTGACTGACCTGACTTCATGTGGGTGGGAAAGCAGAGCCTCTGCTGCAAGCTTCTTGAAACAAACAGCATCTTCACATTTGTCCAGAGGTTAACACATTCTTGAGCATGCACACAAAAGTTAAAGCTCAGAAGAGGAAAGAAGAACTTTATTAACGTCATTAACCTGAAGAGGAATTGGACATCCAGGTACTCAGAACACTCTGAAAATTGTATCCCTAAGGCAAAGTGTGTTTCTTACTCTGCTTCTGTTTCCATTAATTCTCTCCTGGTATTTTTACCACTGCCCAAATAACCTCACACTCATGCATTCTTTCTGAAACTCAGCTGCATGCTTGTTACACTGACAATGCTTAAAATGGAAATAGTGCTGCCTATTTGCTTCTCCTCATTTTAACGGCTACTTTAAGCTGTCAAATCCTCTTATTTCTCAACTGTTCTCCTGAAGTCACATTCCACAGCTACGCAAAGTATCTTGGGAAGAAGAAAGTCAGCTATTAAGAAAACAAAAGAAAAGGTCTCTTCCCGTTTCTAAGGCACATAACATGGAGTACAACCAATTGTTGAGCAATAAAGAAAGTGTTATTCATGTGGTCTTTGAAGATTGGTTTGGCGAGATATTCCTTCCTCTTTCAAGAGTGCTTCCATCTATTGCGAGCTAGTTCAACCCAAAGCTCGGCCAGATCCAATGACAGATGTGACCTTAACTTGCCACCAAGGAGCTCCAGCATTAGTATCTACTGGAATAAAGGGGGTGTCCCCACTCTTCCCTTGAGTTACAGTCTCAGGCTCTCCTCAGCCAGACAACACTCCCTCTGGTCGCTGTACTTCCCATGTTCGGTAAGTGCTTCTCACAAACAGAAAGGCTGATGATGTGGAGTCCAACTCCACCAAACAGCTAGGCCAGAAAAGTCTGGGATTTCTATTTCGTTTCAAGCATGAATGAAAAATTAGATTCTGGGAGACTTCACCAATTAATTCCGCAATTTTGCTCATTGTGTCAAACCTGCTCCGGTTAGACTTCAATGGCAGTGTTTACTATACCAGTAACCAGGCTGAACTGTCACTCTTCCTGCCCTTTTCACAGGTAGCGGTGCAGGAGCGCGAAATTAAGAAAGCCAATACACAGAGAAGTAGTGAAGAAAGAGTATGCTGAAAATCCAGATGCTAATAACAGAAAAAAAAAAAAAAGCTTTTATATTTAGCAGATTCCTCCTATAATTCTAATCTGGCAACATAATAATAAAAGACCCTCGATTCTTAATCGTTAAGAATATTTGAAGACTTTCTACTGCATCATTCTCCAGGGAGTTTGATTCTGTTTCCTCCCAAAATGACTTATTTATCCAGTGTCCTAAAAACAAGTAGGAATCAGGGAATTAAACACTAATTTTCACCTCTGGTTCATACCTTATCCTCCCACATCACTCTTTTTAAACACTCTCACCCATTTCCGTAGGCAAAAAAAGAATTAAAGTGAAGATCAAGAATACATTACAGTGTTCAAATTCTAAATTACTTTTTTAGATTCCATGGTTTAACAACTTCAAATTATAAAAATAATTAACAAGATGAGGAGACCTTCATAGGCTCAGTTAAGTCCCATATGGCACTATAGCGCTAGCAGAATACAACAGAATTCAGATCACAGATCCTTGGAGACCTACAGTGAAGCTATATGCAAATGTTAACAGTCTTCAGGCAAATTAATAATGAAAGAAAATGCATGAAGTACAGGCTACCACTGCAAGAGCCTTCCAAAAAACCAGAGAGGAGCAGAAAACACGAAAGCGCTTCAGCATCTGTTGACTCAGCCACTACTGATGAGATAGAACTTCCCACACAAAACTTGTCAGCTATAGTCAGTGAAATTCTCAGTTAATGACAACTAAACAAACATCAGTGTTTATACATGTTAAGTATGAAATGGAGTACAGGACACTAACCTTTTGCTTCACGCAGCACAGCCAAGGAGGACTGACAGCACCAAGGAAGATGTACCGATGGCACAGAGAGTCCATCTCTTTTTGGTTTACATTCAAATGATGATGTGGCTTTACCAGCTGTTTTATGAATCTACCCTTCCATTACCCCTGTATATCCGGTTCTCGTTTGCAAAACTACTTACAATCACATGCATTTTTCATGTGGATCTCCTATTCACATGTTTAATTTCATTTTACTCTTTGAATATTAAATAAATTCTTCCTGATCCTTCACCTTAAACAGGTGTATTTCCACTCGAGCTGAATAATAAATACTCCAGAAAAAAAAATCCATCTTCCTTTCCCACCTCTTTTTTCCCCTTCATCACCATCCCTTAAACTCATTTTTACTATTCTTTTATCTCTTCTGATTCCCCTCAGAACATCATCTAGTCAGGAGGAAACACAAACAAAAATAGGATTCTTTGCTGCATCATTAGGCAACTGAGTGCATTTCAAACCTGGGGCAGGGGGGGAAAATCCCAGAAATAAAGACTGAAAACAGACTATGTTTTATGTTGAAATATCTTCTATGTTGCTAGATAAACTCACCTCTAACTGTCCTACTTGTTCCAATAAACATTACGAATTAAGTAGTTTCTGGTCTATATTTTAGCCTTGAAACGCTTACTCTCTTCAGCATTTTGCTGAAGCTGTAAAGCAAAATAAATTCTTATATTTATGTTAATTTTAATTTGTATTTAAAATAAGGTTGCCCCAGTGTAATAGCAAGGCCCTTTGCACAGTAAAGGGCAGCAACAGGGAGTAACCCTCTTAATTGCTCCCGAGACCAACACGCTCATCCCCACCCAGAAAATCACCTTCCACAAACTCAAGAGTGACCCCTCCTGCTAATTAAGCAGAAGTGCTGTCTCACAGGCAGGTTTCGGCCATACCCTAACCCTACCTTGAAGGAAACCTGACGGAAGTCAAAC